TCAATCCTTCATAATGTCGGAACAAAAGGATTATAGTAAGATTGAAATCTCCTGAAAAATCAGGGTGGACTTGGAGTGAGAACCCGTAAGTGCCATTTCCAAAATCCTTAATGGGAGGCCTAGCTTTCCATGATTCACCCGAGAGATCAGTTTCAAAATAATCACCACCCAAACAATGTGGCTTCCCTGAATCATCTAATGCCTGGAAAACGAACTCATGGATATCACCAGCTGACAAATCAATATTGTCATGACCATCCAAACCTGGAATAGTAATATCCACTGTTTTCGAATCCCTGCACGGTTCACCCCCCGGGGCCAACCAATTACCAAGAAGCTTTGACGAATAGTTCGTCTCTAACTCCGATGTAATCCAATCCAGAATTCGTGGTTCCGAAGGGCTATGTAAACCCTCGTCCACCTCCGAGGTCAAATTTTGTTCGTTTTCATCAGAATTAGCTGGTGAAGGAGCAATTTTTGGACCAAAATTTTCTTGGGTTTGTGCCAAACTTTGGTTATTTTGGTTTTCCTGGTATGGATTTTCTGACTGGGGTTCCACAGAAAGATTATCAAAGCTTAAATCTTCATGGATTTGAGACAAATTTTCGGAACCACTGGGTTTTAATACAACAAAACTTTTCTGAAAAGTATGCACATTAAACCCGTCAATGCCCCATACAATCAAGATTCCAAGAAATACTACCATCATCAGGACCTTAAACCACCATTGGACCATGGGGTTTGACCTCAAAACCCATGAAATTTTTGAAGCTTTCTCAGGCATTTGAGAAGACATACATAACCCCCACAAGACAACCTGACAAAATTCAAAAAATAAATAGCAATTCTAAGAACAGCAGCAAATATTCCCATAAAATAGAACTGACAAACACATTATCTTGGGAAAATAAAACAATAAGATTGTACGAAACTTACTGGTTAACTTCGATATCTTTGATAGAACAGGCAAATGAAAAGTTTACAAAGCTTTTCAGTGCAGCAGAATCTCTCTTTAATCCAAAATATATGTATTGCAGAGAAAGAGAGTTGATTAGGATAGAAGGAGAGAATTATTAGTGTTTCTACAGTGAACAAAAAGGGAAGAAGAAGAAGATGAAGAAGAAGAACTAATTATTATTATCCAAAAATGCCCTTGACAAAGCTTTGAAATTGACACGAAGATCCACCACAGAAGGAATACTATGACGACACCGACAAATATTCAAATAAATAGAAAAATTAGGGGTCGGACATTTTTGTCCTTTTCAAATATGATCTGCGTGGCTGTTCATGGAAATCTTGCCACGTGACAACTTTTTTATTAATTTTGATCATTCAATTGATTTATGCTCCACTCCCGACTGTGCAAATAAAATGAGAAAATTGCATTATTAGCTTCGTTTTTCATTTTTAAAAAAAATTAGAAAATTAAACCCGAACATGTCAACTTTTATTAACAGAACTATCAAAACACACACGTTCAACATTTTAAATACTTGCTTAGTTCCAATTAAAGGACTTGATTGCATAACAAATTATCAATAACGGACGATTATGAACCAACTTATCTAAAATTTGGATTGGGCTCTGCAGCCTTCTCACGTAGTGTGATGATGGATTCCTAACATTCAAAAATGAGTTTGAATCCCGACCTTATTGATACAATCAATGTGGACATTAAAAATGCTTGTTATTTTCAATTAAATTAAAAAAGAAATATTAAGTGATTGAACTATTTCCTTTTCAATTTTTAAGTCTACTGAATTTCGAGTGAAATTTTGTCATCTCATTATGGTCAGAGACACGTAATAAAGCCATGTCAAAAGGTTTGATTGAACGTTACTTTTCATATCTTATCTTAGAATTGTCATTTGTCCATGAGATGAGTGAATTAACTTGAAAGTTGGGATTTGATGAATCTATAAAAGCAACATGGTATTTAGATTTGACAATATTGTACACATCTACAAAATTAAGGCACCTATGAGGTCAGGTGGGTAGAAAAAGAGAGAAAAATTCAAAATTGTTTGCTGTTGGGTTCTATCTTAAGCATTCTACAATGTACAGCTACCCATTTCTATAAATCTTTGACACTAAATTTGAACAAATTAAAACATGTAACTATAAATTAGTATATAACCAAAGTTAGTACTTAAAATGGCACATAGATGTTTATTGGACTAGAATATATATATGCAC